TTTGAAGATTTTCATATTTTCTATTATTTTTAAAAGATTCGTTAATTACGGAATTATTGAAAATAATTGTAACAGTAACAAATAAGTGTCACATACTTGCTACACCATCTCTAGTCATGAATATACGCTTCAATTCTTGCTCGTGGATATGATCGTCAAGATTAATTTTGATTCCGTTTTCTTTTGCTTTTTTGGCTGAGGTAATAAGTATGATGAATGATGATTTAGCCTGTATTTATTTAGTTAATGTGGGATTTGTTACTCTTAGGGATCTATTACGCTTTGGATAATTTTCCTGCTGTGAGCACCAAGTGTTACACTGGTGATAAAGTCATTGTAAATGAGCATTGTTTCAGCTTTTTTTGCTTTTTTATATGCTTCAGCGAGAGTATTAATTCTTGTGCTAAACACTTTTCTTTGTAACTTTTTATCTAACACTCAAATGAACAGATCAAATTTTTGTTTAGTTGAATAGTATTCATCATCTGGGTCAGCTTGTCAGAGTAATTTAGTAAATTTTTCATAGTATTTAGTGATACTATCATCAGGTTTTTTCCTTAGAGTCACAATTCGAGCATGAAGTTTGGCTGTGATTGCTTTGTCCGTGAATTGTTTAATAAAGACATCAGTGAATCTTTTTCACTCACTTGTTATTTTGATTGGGAGTTCCTTGTACCAACTAGCAGCAACATCCTTCAAGACCAGAGAAATCTGTTGCACTATTATGATTTCGTCTCATCTATTTACATTATATACTTTTGTTACATCTTGTAATCATTCAGTCAGATCTTCTTCATTGTTGTTATCATAGAATAGCGGAATCTTATGTTTCTTTATAATATGAGTGGTGTTTACTAGTGTATTCTTCGAAATTTTGGGAATGGTAAATTTTTTTGGTTTCTCCATGTTAGATGAATCTGATCCTGAGTCTGGTGGTGATTTTTTTTGATGTTTTTACGTTGTTTTTTATTATTTTCTATGCATACTAATGATGTTGACTTCCTTCTTCCTTTTAGTTATTCGAAGAAATTTTGGTAATCTCTTTTTTCTAAATTATTATTGTTTGCTTCTTCAATTGGCGATGCTACACCTGCTTCTCTGTAGTTTTCATTATTCGAATCCCTTTCTTCTTCAATTGGTGATGCTACACCTGCTTCTCTGTAATTTTCATCATTCGAATCTCTTTTTTCTTCAAAAGGATTTCCCCATTCATCGGTTAGATTAAAGATAGTTATTGTTTTTAATTTATTTATTTCATTTTGTATACCCATTGTTACGATTGGAAATTCCTATAATTTCCATAATTTTCATAATTACCATAATTTTTATAATTCTTATAATCTTTATAAAACATCATAAACTCTATATTCTTTATAATTTTTATATATAAATCAATTAGATGAATTTTTATTATTTTAATTTTTATAATTTTTATATAAATTATCATAAATGTAATATTTACTAGTGAAAAATATTTATTATAAATAAAGCAATATTGAGACTTTGAAAAAGGCATCAATTGATCAATACAAAAATCTAGCTAGTCAATAAACTGTCCTTGTTTATTGTTAATGAAATTTGTACACTTAATTGATTAAAAATAATAACTTATTAAAATACTTGCATTTATTGCACACTATTGGACAACTGCCAAAGTTGCTATAGAATATTAGTACTGTATTGCTATAGGACTGTTTCACACTAAGTAGACATAACATCTATTAGTAATAGTGAGAGCCTATTTATATGATAGAAGAAAACGTACTACATAGCAATCCTGAAGTATACTAATTACAATGAGATTGAGTAACCATAAAAATATTATTATCAGACGTTGATTGAACATCTATGTCATGATTATATCTACCAGGAGCCTAATCATGACAATGTCAACTTCTTCTCCCTTACACATTCTGAATTACTTACTAGAAGATACAAGATAATATTACAAAGAATTATGGTGCACCTTCCAAGACATGAAATGAGCTTATGATTCAGTTAGTTGGTATATGCTTCAACTCGCACTAAAAAGAATAAAAATGAACCAAAAGATTATTATACTACTTGGTAACATCCATAATGATCAGCACAATAGCATACATATAGAATTTGGTCTCACTGATCTATATTATATCATAGATGGACTTAATCAGGAAGAAGTTAATGCTCTGATACTTTGGTGAATCTTTTATGACCTCTTACTTTGTGAAATTGACAAATATAAAGAAAATCTTGATTACAATATCAATAATTATAACATCAAATTTTCTCATCATGAAGTCCAACAACAATCTATCTCACTCATCAATTTAGTCTTCATAGATGATACTATTTGGTTTTCCAACAACAAAAATAACATGTAAACAATCTTACAAATAGCACAACAATTTTATGATATGTGTAATATTTCAATCAATTCAAACAAAACAGAAGTAATTCATATCAATAGCAAATTTGATTCCTCAACATATCTCAAATATTATAATAATAGTCAAAATTTAAAAATCTTAGAACCAACAGAAAGCACCAAATACCTAGGAATTCATATCAGTATCAATAAAAAATTTCACACTCAACAAACCAAAATCAAAATTAAAGTAAACAATCTAACCAAACTTCTTACAAAAAAATTTATCACTGAAAAATAGTCAATATATATTATTAATTGAGTTTTATTTTCAGCAATTGAATATTAATTCCAACTTTTCGTACTTTCAGATACTTTTTGTAAAAATCTAATGAGAAAAATCAAAAAACTAATTAAAATCAAGATATTTCTCCCAGTAAATACACAAACTCAATTCTCTATCATTCAAAAATCTTTGTTCTGGACAATATTCAGGAAATTCAATCACACAGCAAAATTTCAGATCTTTTTTATAAATTAAATAAACTATCTATAATAGGTTACATTATCAAAATATGATTGCAACAACTTCAATACAATAAATGAACTTCAATACCAATACTTTCTAATCCAATACCAGAATTATCTCTCATTGGATATAATTTGATTGCCAGCATCATTCCTCTCTTGCATTAAAGAAATATCTCATTTATCACCAGCACATGCAATTTTCCTCTTTTCAACTCACAAACCTTCTCCTCACTACTAAGTAATATCACAGGATCATGGTTCACATACAAAAATACAGACATATACTCCAGCAGGACAATGTTCTCTTTCTCTCACAATTAACTAAATACAATAGAAGAGATCTAATCAGTTGGAAGCAATACAAAAATAGATTCAGAAGAACAGCACATGGTTCACAATCATCCTAGTACTCCATACTAGAATCAAGAACAACAAATTCCAATAACAATTATTATCCCAGGAAAATTTGCAATAAATAATACCATTCATATGATAACAAATATCAAATATCATACTACAAATTATCACAACATCTTAATAGCTCTGCCACAAATTATTAATAATGACAGAGCATATATAACTCATTAAATAACATTAATATACTTACAATATATACTGATGGTTCAATTAAAAATGCAGGCACAACAGATACATTTGCTGGTTCAGCTTGAACAGATTTTTCACATACCACTAGCTTCAACTTCTCAATACCTGACACAATATCAATTACCAAAACAGAACTATTTGCTATTAGTACACTATTAGAAATTCTTTCAAATATCTCAATAACAATATATATAGATAACAAAACTACTATTCAAGGATACAAACACAATATCATTAATAGACATCTCCTATCCAACAGATTTCTTCTCAAATAAGCTAACTGATCTCTCTGGAAAATATTACATCACAACATCTATACCAAACAAATCAAATTATAATTACAAAAAGTCAAAAGTTATTCTAACAATTCAGATAATGATCTAGCAGACAAACTCATCAATGAAGGCAGAACAAAATAACTAATCTTTATTAATTACTACAATCTTTCCAATTCTAATTTTGCATTTATCTTTCTTAAAATCACATCTATTGACTTTAACTTAAGATCATTTCTTAAATTACAACATTATAAAAGTTTTATAGCCAACTGGCAATATCTTCATAACAATAACAAAACTAAACAAGATGTCATATTCTCAATAGGCTGGAAAGCTACCAATTTGGTTTGGAATCAAGATGGTGGAATCAACAGTAACCAAACTGAATCACACAAATCCAAACTTTATATCTATTACATCAAATGCTTCCATAATATGTTACCAATATTCAAATATCTTAAACAAAGAAAACTATCACTTTATCCCAATGATACATATTCTTAATGCAAGTTAGAACAAGAAACGCAAATGCACATCTGGAATTGCTCATCTGCACTTAACTCACTTCACAATATTTAACTTAAAGCATCAAAAAAGCTTCTCAAAATTATTAATCAACATAATTCAAATCCAAATATCAGTATTATACTAAATGAAATTCAAATATTTATCATTAATCTATTTAAAATCCAATTTCCAAAATTATCTCAAATTATAGTAGGAAGAAAACTTATTTCAAATGAATTATACAGTGGACTAGTTCCACAAGAACTCACTGAATATATCAAAATCTTTAATCTGAATATTAATCAAGTCAGATTAATAGCATTCAAGTTTATCATTTGGCTCTCTAGCAAAACAAGAAAAGAAATATAAATTCCTCGATGCAAATTACTCATCACTTATGAAAAAATCATCCATATCACATCAAAATTAAAAAACAAATATCACAAACAAAATGAGAAAGATCTCTTGGTACTTCTTCAAATTCTCCCACTAAAACCAAAATCTAATTATGATCTTATCTATATTTATGTAAATGCAAATATCTTGCAAAAGATCACATCAACAATCTCTGTTTCTTACCTTACAGAATCAAAAAAGCTGAAAATATCACTATATTACATACTATAAAATTGCAATTATATACTAAAATTTTAACAGATCCTATTATTTTTCTGTAATTCTTAGACAAGTTCGAGATGGCTAATTGTACCTTATATTTTAAATATAATATAAGTAATTCATATAGTATCACATATCTTATAATTAATTGTAATTTAGATAGTAGTGTTATTCCAATTCTTTTAACAGTATTTATATAACAAAAGATCTTTAACAGGTCTCTTCTTACAGTTATAAGAAAAGATAGTGGATCAAGTTAAGTTTATTATTAAGAAAGTTATATGTTATAATTATGATGAGTTCAAGATAGTTTTATTAATAAAGTTTCTTTATTATTATACTTTTCACTATTGCTACCTCTGTCAGTGCTTTGCACATAGACTATACAAGTATATAATACAAGAATAATAATATTATATAGATTATTCCAAGTCTATAATTAAAACTATACTAAAAATCAAGGGTAATTATAAGGTATATGATAAGTGAATTCATTATTAAGAACTTGTTAACTAATAACTTGTAATGTAAGTTACTTTAAATTTATATTCTAATTAACTTATGGATTTGCTATCAAGTGGAGTGCTATTTATATAAAATTAATTATTGCAAAGATCTCTAAATATCTGTAATACTAAACAAGCAAAATCTTTATAATTCTAAAGATCAATATTTCAAAATATTAACAGTTCGATATTTCTAATAATCAACAGTTCAAAATATTGAAGATTTAATATATTTGTCATATTGATGTACAATACATGTAAATAATAAGTCCAAAAATAACTAACCAATAAAAATAAAAATAAATATTATCTAATAAAATATATTATATAAAGTGTCCAATAAAAATAAACTAAGAAATTGTCCAATAAAAATATAACAAACAAAATTAACTATAACATATTCCTCCATATAATTTCTGGCTCTGTCAAAGAAATATAAAATAAAAATAAAAATATAAAATTATAAAATAAAATTAAAATTAAATTACAAATTAAAATTAAAAATTATCTAATAAATTTATTATATATTTTTCTTTTTAAGTTATCACTTGTTTTTTGATCTATTTTTCCAATATTACTAGGTTTGAATATCTTGTCTACTCTATCATATTATAGTAATTGTTTGTCATTCTTAAAGTACTAATAGAGTCTTATTGCCATTAATTCTCTGGATTTAAAGTTGATTGTGGAAATATTCTTTTTAAATAGTCTTTGCGTCTCTGAATTTTGAGTTCTCTGAGATTTGCCAAGGGTCATCAAGAAAATAATCCTTCCAATCTCAAACATTACTGAAGTGATAGTGTACTTGTTATCAGCCAAGTCATCATAGTAAGCTGATAATAATGCTTCCTCTGACAGACAAATTGGTAATGCTTCTGATTTTCTTTCATCTTTAGCTTTTTTCAATTTATCTATTATTGATTTTTCTAGAAGTGTAAGACTGTCTCCAGGAGTTGTGCTAGGTTCTGATATGGCTCCAACTTCTGCTAAACATTGTGAAAGAACATCCATGTCTACTTTGGTTGAGAAGTTGTATCCATTCTCATCTATCTTAACTTTTAAGTCAGAATAAAGATATAAAATTTTGGTGAACAGATTACTAGCTAGTTGTAGGATCTCTTCTGGGATTTGTTCATCAATTAGAGGTATGTAAAATTGTGACATGTTGAATAATTTTTATGGATATTAAATAAATATAATAAAAAATTAAAGTGATTATTAGTATTTTTGTTGTTATTATTATTATTTTTTTATTGCTTGCTTGCAATTGTTCTTGTCTTGCTTGCTTGCTACAATTTTTAAAAGGGGGTATATATATAAAAATAAAAAAAAGATCTTTTTGACAAAAGAATTCTAGAGCAAAAGAGAAAAAGAAATCTTTAATGTTTCACTTAACATTAAAAATTATCTAAAAAGGAAATTTTAAGAGGCTAATTTTTGTACAAATAACTCAGATCTACAAATTTCCTTGTGAGACCAAATTTTTGTGGCTTCATGATCTCTAAGCTGCCATAAAGTGGACTGGTTACCATGCCAAGCTGCCATACAATTGTGTTCAGTTGCACAATCTGTGTGATATCACCATCATGCCAGGGGTTTGTATTTTGATTGGCCAGGTAGAATTCATTTTCTCTTTTTTCTCTTTCTTCTGTGTTATTGCAAATTCTTTGCTGTGAAGACTGTACATTTTCTATATTGGCTTTCATTCTTTTATTCCTGAGTGAACAGCCACTTCTATTTTCATTTTCATTCCATTTTCTATAGGGAAAATGCGCTCACGCATCACGCATTTCATTTGGCGAAGTGTCGCACGTACTTTGTTTTTATAACATTAGAGCATGTGACATGCATAGTTTCGGAAATTTGTATCACTAACGCTAATTTAAAATATTGTTAATGTTAAGTATCATGCAAAATCGGTTTTGAGAGAATTATATATACGTATATGTCAATATTAATAACTACATAAACTATTTAAAGTACACTAATTACAAAATATTTTAAACTAATTTTAGCTTTGTAAGATTTATTTGAATCTTATTATCAATGTAATAGCGAAAAATTTGACCTCTTAACTAATTAATTAAATATATTGTTACCGCCAGCGGACAAACTTCCTCGACTACGGTTCTTCGGGGATAATCGACAGAAAAACGAGTCGCGGACGTCAATAACGTCGGATTAATGTATGTTGACCATTGCTGATTTCCAAAATCGGTAAACGTTGCAGCGAATTCTCATCACGATCGTCAAAAACAACAAACTCCCCTTTTAATATGCGACACGGAATTACGCCACTCCCCGCGTTCTTTTTACAGCGTCTCCTCATTCATTATTTTTCGGCATCTCCTCATCATTTTCAGCATATCCTCATTGTTTTTCAGCATCTCCTCATCATTCAGCGTTTCTGCATCAGTTTTCAGCATCTCTTTATCAATCTTCGGCACGGTTCCATTAGTTTTCGATTTTGTAACAGTTTCTTCTATAGATGATAGAGCGTCCGTTATAAACTTTATTTTATTTTATTTTTAGTAAAAGTTATGCTTTCTCTTCTTTGATAGTACAAAAATAATAACACACAAACAAATGTATAAAAGAATGGCCCACGGGCTACTAATAAAAAAACAGAATTCATATTGCGAACAAATATTCTCCAAGTAAGCTACTTGTAAAAGAGAATTCACATTGCATACAATTGTTCCCCAAGCGAAATTAAACTTGAATTATTGCGTACAATTATTCTCCCCTAAGTAAATTATCGCTTGTAAAACTCTCCCCCACTTTAATCGTTATATTGATTGTCGGTTAGATCCTTTGTACCATAAAAGGCGTTGTTTTATGTAGAATCGCATTGTTAATGAAAAACCGTTTTTGTGTGATCGTAATTATTGTTGTTATTTTTAAGAGTTTAAGGCTTTTGTCTATAAAAAGCAATAGATAAGAAATTCCCTGAACGCTTACTTGAAACACATAGTCTCTCCCCCCAAAAACCAACATAATCAACAATATCCGTAGATATCGGCACAGGCTCTATATACCGAGATAAACATCACTCAGTCTAATAATCTCTCCCAAAGTCTTGTCGCGTTAGAATCCCTCAATTCGCACCAACTTAACAATAAGCGCAACAATGTTCTTTGACGTTTAGTAGAAGTTGGAATTTTTTATTTTATTTAAATTAATTTGATTCACTTTACGAAAGAAAGAGCATAATACGAAGTGAGAATCGCATTGAAATGCACTATCATTTCTCATTGATAGTTTAACCCCCTTTTTTACTTTCTTGATTTGGATTTGAAAAATCTCTTAGACTTCGTAAAATCGCATGCTTTTCTTATTATTGAGAAAAAAATAAAAATCGGTAAATACTAAATCTCGAGAATATTAAGTAATATCAGCATATAGCATACTCTTAAATCTTTATTAATTGGAAAACTCAAATTTAATCGGTAATGCCAACATCGTAAAATCACAGTCGTAAAATCACAGTCGTTAAATCGCGTCCTGACTGTATTTCAGATCGACCAAAGATATCGCGTGTTCAACAAACATTGAATTAATTATATTGGGAACACAATTCTTTTTTTGTATGGGTGAGCATCGAGCCTTGAAAAGGGCATCAAGTTCGAACTCTAGAATCTCGTTTCACTTGTGAAGAGAGCCATTGGCTCAGTGAGCTTGTTCTGCAATTGGATCTCTGCTTGATTTATAGGAATTACATCAGATATTGCAAAAGCAAGGATGAATTTGATTTATGGTCAGGACAGAATCGAAGATTCATTGTTCCTACAATACGTTGTTGCCAATCCTCCGGATTACATTCAAAATTTTCTTCGTCATATTGTTTCTAATATTTTAGTGATTCTGACGAAACGAGATGTAATGTATTATCCCACCTCCTAACATTAGTTGCAAAGCATATGTAGTGTCGAGTGATAATCCTCAGTGTCGATGCTATCTCATCATTTTTGCTGAAATATGACTCAAAATAATTTAGATTTGGCTATAGTTAAATCAGTTGTGGAATCAAATTCACCCATATGTTTAAAATAGCAAGTAAGTTCTGTATTACTCGCTTTATAATCAAGTTCATTATAATAAATTTCGTTATAATATAACGCATCATATTTGAATTTTATTTTAAAAGAGTCAACTGTATGATTATTTCACTTATCAAGTTACAAATATTTAACCTTACCCAAGGATCAAAGACTGTACAACAGCAATGAAAAGAATCATTTTACATGCGATCTTTTAGTGCTTGCAGATGGTACACTGACCTACGATAAATCACCGTGCATTATTAGCAAAATTTTCGATTTTAAAAAGTATCTATAATTTTTTTATTTAAACTAAATTTTACTTAACAACAATATTTAAAAAATATATGAATGGAAAGAGAAAAAGTTATAGAATAATATTCATCTAAAAAATATTAATAATTTAATGTGTATGTGATCCTTTAGATTTAATGACAGCTGCAACTTGTCGCGATATACTCGAAATTAAATCGCATACAACATCCAAAGACACTTTTTGCCATTCTCCTTTTGGAGATCGGAAAAAGTTCTCTTTTTATAATTTGGCGATCTAAATGATCCCATATATGTTCAATTGGGTTTAATCGGGACTTTTGGCAGCCCATTCTAAAACTGGAATACTGTGTGTTTGCATCCACCAACGACTATAATGCGAAGTATGACAGGAAGCACCATCTTGCTGAAAGAATGATTATTCATCCAAGGAACTAAATATTTGGAGAGAATATTAATATAGCCATCAGAATCGAAATTGTTATCAACTTATACCAAAGGGCCAACACCACCCCATCCAATAAATTACCGACAATCCACCAAATATTTACTGTTGGAACCACACAAATTTCTAAGTTTTTTCAAATGATTTTTCGCCATACTCTTGTACGCCATCTGAATGAACAATTTGGTGCCATTCTCATTCCAGTTTTTCTTTTCTTTGCACCATTGTAAACACTTTTTTATGTTGAGAAGTTAAAAGAGGCTTACGACTTGCATAGTAAGATTCAATGATAATAATTTCATACAATTACGAGTGGTATTAAAGTGAATCGAGTTATTAATGTATGCATTTAGTTGATTGGTAATTTTAATGAGTGAAGTTTTGTGATCTTTTTTACAATACGTTCTAAACTTCGTTGATTACGTTCTGATAAAATTTTTGGTCGTCCAGTACGTTTTACAGAAGGTGGAGAACCTGTTTTTTAAACCGGTTAATTGTATCACGCACTGTTTGCTTTGAAATAGCGAGGGTAGAGGCAATAGCTGAACATTGTTCTCCATATGATACGCACCAATTATTTGTTCATGAAGTTCTGAGGATAATTCTTTTCGTGGTAAGAACATTATGAATAGAAAGAAGAGTGAATGTAGAGTGTTTTTATATACAAATAAAAGATCGAAACAAAGAGAAAATAAAAACAAAGTGAAACGTTACTCGATAAAGAATAATGAATATGCATGGTGATTTATCATAGGTCAGTGTACGCTCGGTGGAATCGGGAGTGATCGACGTAAATAATGGGGTGACTATAATCGTTAATTGTACAATTATAACGTGCAATAGCTCGTTAGAAAGCTGAAATCGTAAGCTTTCAAATGACGTAAAATTATGTCACACCCATCCAACACACAGAAATTGCCAAATTACGGATTTTGAGCGTGACGAGATAATCGGTGCTTGGAAGTGTTTTTCCGAAAAAGAGATTGAAGAAATAGGACGACCCAACCCACAGTTCATAACGTTATACACAAATATAAAAAGTTTGGCCGAACCACGGTTGCTTACCGACGCGGTAGACCACGAATATTAAATTCTAAAACCACCCGAAGAATAATCAATATTGTAAAAGAAAATTGACAACAAGCAATTAACGAAGTTACCGAAAAATGTAATACTGCTTTGGAAGTTTCTAAAACCATACGTCGTAATCTTCATGAAAATGGGTTTTTGGTCGGGTTGGACTAAGAAAATCTTTTATATCTAAGGAAAACGATTAAAATGGTGTCTAGAGAGAAAAGATTGGGTTCGTGAATGGGAATCAGTAATTTGGAGTGATGAATCAAGATATTTAATATTTAGAAATGATTCGCAGCAATGTTGACTCCATGAAAAAGATGACGTTGATGAAATCAGGTAATCAGTGAGTAATGGTATGGGGATATTTACTCAATACACTTGGATCACTAATCGAAGTTGAAGGTACAATAACCGGACAAAAATATGTAGAAATACTTGAACAGCATCTTAAACCATTTTTAGATGAATTGCCAGCTAGTTCTGTTCATCCTTTTCAAGATGATAATGCTCCAGTTTACAGAAATAATCCGGTTAATGAATGGAAAGAGAGAAATCTAACGAGTCCTGATCTAAATACAATTGAGCATTTATGAGATGTTCTGGAAAGACGAATTCGTGCATGACCAATTTATCCCAAAAGCAAGAAGAATTGATGGATGCATTTGCAGAGGAATGGGAAAAAATCGAACTGGAAATTTTAAAAATTTTGCCGAGAAGAGTGCAAGCTGTGATTGATGCAAATGGGTATCCAACCCGATATTAAAATATATGTATGAATAGCTCTACTTTTGCCGAACAAAATGATATATTTTTTATTGTAGTTTATTTAAAGAGAAGTCGAGTAATATTAATTACGTAAAAGTCATCCCAAATTTTGTGATCTCGATCTATATTGCTGATCATTTCCCGATTCCAAACCTTTGTCCACTGAATGTATATCATTTGCTTTGTGTTCATTACAATTAGTTTTATCATCACTGTTGCACTTTTAGTTAAGTTGGGGGCGAATTGAGGGCTTTATAATGCAACAAGGCTTTGGAAGAGATTATTAGTCTGGGCAAAATTCGTTTCAGTATCTGATATCTACAGATATCATTTATTATAAAGGTCTCACAGAATATTGTGGACACTTTTTAAAGTTCAATAATGCAAAAACCAATAAAAAAGCAAGATTTATGATTCTAAGCTAATAGAATTATTGAAATATATTGTATATTATATCAAAATTGCAAGTGATTTTGATAACTAGTTCAAAAAAAGTATAAAAATAAAATTTAGTATCAAATTGAAATTTACACAAAAAATATTCTATTTTATAAAGATGCAAATATCTTCATATCTAGTGTACCAAATTAAATAATTTTATATCACCAGATTTACCAAGTCAAAATGCATCTAATAATATCAAAATCATATAATTTGGATCACTAGATATAGAGATATAATTTCTCAAAAATATTGTACAAAAATCAAGATAAAAAAATAGTTTAAGGAAAATTTTAAGAAAATCATTTTTGCAAATATCTCTACATCCAGTAGACCAAATCGAATGATTTGATATTACTAGATTCACTTAAACAAGACAAATCTAATGATATCAAAATCATCTAATTTGGTTAATTGGATGTGGAGATATTCACAAAAAACTATTTTCTTCAAAAAATTTTATTCCAGTTTGGTACACTATCTTTTGAGATGTGATATCTCCATATCTAGTAATCCAAATTGAATGATTTTGATATCATTAGATACATCTTAACTTGAAGAATTTGTAGATAAAATTTTATTTAATTTACTAGATGCAAAGTTATTTGCATCTTTGTAGAATACTATTTTTTCACATAAATTTCAGTTTGATACTAAATTTTATTATATATATATTTATATATATTTTTTGAACTAGTTATTGAAATCACTTAAAATTTTAATATAATATACAATATGTTTTAATGATTCTATTAGCTTAGAATCATAAATCTTTTTTATTGGTTTTTGCATTATTGTATTTTAAAAAGTGTTCACAATATTCTGGGAGACCACTGTATGTCTCTTTTTACAAGTATCTTACTTGAAGAATAATTGTTTGCAATATGAATTCTATTCTTTATTAGTAGCCCATAAGCCATTCGTTTATACATTTTTTTGTGTTACATGTCATTTGTCACTTTTAATACTACTTTAGTTATCAATAAAAACGTTTATATCGAACACTTTAATATCTATGAAACAAACTGATGTAAGATGAATTGAAAACTGCTAGAATTATGATGAGAAGATGCTAAAACTGATTAGGGAATGCTGAAAGATGACGAAAAACAATGACAAACGCTGAAGAGGACACTAAAAATTGATGACAAATACTGTATTTCGACAAAAGCAGGCGTGAAGAAGATCGTATTTTCATGCTGTATACCAAAAAGGGAAGCCTGTTGTTTTATCTGCACGTCAGGGGGAATTTACAATGTTATGCTGCTATTTTGCTGAAAAATTTAGTGTTGTTGAAGATCATGATGGGAATTTGCTGTTTGGAAAGTCTGCAATGATGCTGAAAAATCTACCGGATCTGGAAATCAGCAACGTTGGTCCGGCGTTAGCGACATCCGAGTGCATCTATGTACACCCCAATCCGTTTTGGTTAGATTAAATAACAGCCAATAAGAATGCATAAATTTTTGATCAACCCGGCAAAACAAAAAATGAAAAATGCGAGAAATGTAAAAAATACAAGAAACAAATACCTAAAAAATGTCGGGAAGACAATTTTACATGTAATCTTGTTCTCTGCCTCTAACCCTAACCCTAAGCTTAAAGCCAACTTTAAAGCCAACTTTAACATTAATCTTTATTACTGTAGAATTTTCCGAAAACACACAAATCATATTGGAATTTTATATATATGAGGTTACACTGGGTGTACATAGATGCTTCCAGCGACATCCACGGCTCGTCTTTCGCCGTTTCATCCTGAAAAGCTGAAATCGAAGAATTTTGTTCGCCGGCGGTAACAGTACCATGTATACATGTATGGTTAAGATATTCATAGAAATACCAACATAAATATCGATATA